GTCCTCTTTGTTCCAAAGGGGAGTGGTGAGTTCAGAATGTGCATAGACTACAGGGGTCTCAACAAGATCACTAGGAAGAGCACAGAGCCACTTCCTAGGATCGATGACCTTCTAGATATGGTCCAGGGCTGCACCATCTTCAGCAAAGTCGACCTCAAATCTGGCTATCACCAGATTGAGATGGCAGAGGAGGACGTCCATAAGACGGCCTTCAAAACCAGGTATGGTACGTATGAGTACCTGGTGATGCCATTCGGACTTTGCAATGCACCTGGTACATTCCAGACTGAGATGCACCGCATATTCAGGCCGTACCTGGACAAGTTCATGGTTGTTTACCTGGATGACATCCTGGTATTCAGTAGGACTGCCAGGGAACATACGAAGCACTTGGCTCTGATTCTTCAGGCATTACGTGACAGCCAATACAAGATCAACAGGGAGAAGTCCTCTTTTGGAGTTCCCTCTGTTATCTACCTGGGTCACGTGATTTCTGGAGATGGGCTGGCCCCTGAAGCAGCCAAAGTTGTTGCTATTCAGGATTGGCCACAGCCCCAGACAGTGAGAGATGTCCGGTCATTCTTGGGTCTGGCCTCCTACTACAGAAAGTTCTTCAGGAACTTTTCTGCAGTGGCTGCACCCCTGACTAACCTCACCAAGAAAGACACTCCCTTTCTTTGGCCCCTGCATTGTCAGATGGCCTTTGCACGACTCAATCAGGCCTTGACTCGTGCACCTGTTCTGAAGTTGCCTGACCCCACGCTGCCATTTGTTCTCACCACTGACGCCAGTCAGTATGGCATTGGGTCAGTCCTTCAGCAGGATGATGGTAATGGGCCAGTCAGTATGGCATTGGACCTGTTCTGAGACCTGTAGAGTTTATGAGTAAGAAGATCAAAACTCAGAAGCTTCAGGACTCTACCTACGAGAAAGAGCTCTATGCTCTTGTCAGTGCCCTGAAACATTGGAACCACTTTCTCCTGGGCAGGCATTTCAAGATCTTTTCTGATCATTCCACCCTGCAGTGGTTGAAGTCCCAGGGAGAGTTGAATGATAAACTGGCACGCTACATTCAGTTCATTGATCTGTTTGACTTTGAACTGAAGCATAAGAAGGGTTGCTACAACAAGGTAGCAAACACCCTCTCTCGTAGGCCTGACTCGTTTGCGTTGATCTCCTCCACTCACTCCTTTGGAGAGGAGGTCCGTCAGACCATCGCTCGTTTGCTGCCTCAGGATCCGACTTATGGACCCATCGTCAAGAATCTGCAAGCAGATCCTAATTCTGAACCTGGCTATGCCCTAAGTTCAGATATGTTGTACACTTACAGCAGAGAAGAGGAGCGCTTGTGTATCCCTGAGGACCAGCGGCTGAGGACACTGCTGATGTCAGAGTGCCACGACGCGCGTGGACACTTTGGGTTCCTAAAGTCATATGCAGCCCTGTCGCAGCGCTTCTTCTGGAAGGAGATGCGGAGTGATATGTTGCGCTATGTGGACACCTGTGAGCTCTGCCAAAGGAACATGGTTCAGCGTAAACCTCCTTTGGGATTGCTCAAACCTTTGCCCATACCTGATGGTCCTGCCCAATCTGTGTCTATTGATTTCACAGACTTAGGCAAGACTACCCCTCGTGGCATGCGTCAGGTAATGGTCTGCGTGGACAGGTTTTCCAAATACGCAGAGTTCATCCCCTTGCCAGAGGTAGCCAGGGTACCGGCTGTGAGAGCAGCCTTTTCAGAGAGGTGGGTCACACACCATGGACCGCCCACCTCTATTGTGAGTAATCGAGACCCCAGATTCTGCAGCGATGAGTGGCAGTCCTACTGCAAGGACTATTTGCACTCACGCCTGGACATGACTTCTGGTCGTCATCCTGAAGCCAATGGATTGGCTGAAGTGATGAACCAGGTCCTGTTCCAGTTGCTACGTCCTATGATCTCTCCTGATCAGCAGGACTGGGATCTCCACTTGGGGAGGGCACAGCTCATGTATAACATGTCCGTCCACTGCTCGACAGGGTTCAGTCCCTACCGGTTACATTGGGGACGTGAGCCACGACAACCTCTCGATGATATCATCGACAAGGCTAAGCCTGACCTTACCCCAGGCACTGCTGAGTTCGCCAGACGCTATCGTCTGGATGTGGAAAGAGCCCCTGCGAACTTGTTCAAGGCCCAAAAGGCCATGATTGAACAAGCTAACCGCCATAGGCGGCCTTCCCCTATCCGCACTGGTGACTATGTCTGGGTGGCCAGTTCTGAGTTGTCGAGGGAGGAGGATATCTCTCCCAAGCTGTTGCCACGCTACCTGGGTCCGTGGCACGTTCTAGATACAGTGGGCACTGATCCTTTCGGCCCATCGTACGTCATTGACGTGCCCCTGCATCTACGCACCTATCCGGTCTTCCATGCATCTAAGCTGCTGCCTTTTATGCCACCTGATGCATTCCCTGACCGGCCCCCTCAATGGGCCCCCCCAATCCCTCGTAAGGGATATGACGTGGTGGCCATTGAGGACGAGTGGGGCACTGGCCCCGACCGGCAGTATCTTGTCAGGTTTGCATTCCAGCCTCCTTCTGAGAACCGATGGTTCTACAGAAAAGACCTGATCAAGACAGCAAAGTCTGTAGTTCTGCGGTATGAGGCGGCTCAGAAGGGTGACCTTCGCCGTTCGCCTCGTCTGCACCCCTAGCTCGGAGGTCCTCGCTCCCGGGGAGGGTAAGCCTGCAATGACTTGCTGATTTCTGCTGCCGAGTTTG